TGCCACGTACGGTAATGCACATATATATACATATGGGCAATTTCATGTGATAGGGTATAGCCAAATAAGTATGGAAAAAGTGACCCGAATATATTTTTCCCATTCATTCCTACCCACTTAAAAATAACTTTTTGAAATTTTTAACTCAAAATTTTGAGTTTTTTGGAACTTATGGAGAGGAAAAAAATCGAAAAACGCATTATTCTCAAAAACTACTGTATGCATTTTAATCAGCTTTGAATATGTTGAAAAGACAATTAAAGAGATTCCAAAAAAAAATTTCAAATTTTTTTTCAAAAAATTTTAAAAATCTTTTTTTTTTGAAAATTTTAAAATGAAAATTTTTTGAAATTTTCAAAAAAAAATTTTCTAGTTCTATTAAAGTGACATTTTTATGTATTTTCTCATTTCATTCTCTTATGTGATCTACTTAATAAAAAAATTTTGTCCGACATGATTTTAGGGTGTAAAATTTTATACAATATAAAAATGTACCGGGTATGTTTTTGAGTTATTTACCGTGACACACCCTAAAATCATGTCGGACAAAATTTTTTTATTAAGTAGATCACATAAGAGAATGAAATGAGAAAATACATAAAAATGTCACTTTAATAGAACTAGAAAATTTTTTTTTGAAAATTTCAAAAAATTTTCATTTTAAAATTTTCAAAAAAAAAAGATTTTTAAAATTTTTTGAAAAAAAAATTTGAAATTTTTTTTTGGAATCTCTTTAATTGTCTTTTCAACATATTCAAAGCTGATTAAAATGCATACAGTAGTTTTTGAGAATAATGCGTTTTTCGATTTTTTTCCTCTCCATAAGTTCCAAAAAACTCAAAATTTTGAGTTAAAAATTTCAAAAAGTTATTTTTAAGTGGGTAGGAATGAATGGGAAAAATATATTCGGGTCACTTTTTCCATACTTATTTGGCTATACCCTATCACATGAAATTGCCCATATGTATATATGTGCATTACCGTACGTGGCAAATAGCATGACCATGGTTTTTGACATTTTACTCAAAAACTATATTTTTAAAAAATTTAGAAAAAATATATGTTAAAGGGGACATTATAAGGTACTTTTTACAACAAAAGAGAAAGTGGTCACTTCAAAAAATAACCCTAAAAAAAAATTTTGAAAATTTCAAAAATTTTTTTCAAAAATTTTTTTTGAAAAAAAAATTTTGATTTTTTTTTTCTAAAATCGTCTTATCTATATTTACAACCTCTTAAAATTTCATTAAAATCGGTTCAGTAGTTTTCGAGAAAAATAAGTTTTTTGATTTTGCTTTCCCCCTCCATAACTCCCCCAAAAAAGCGAATTTTGAGTTCAAAATTGCAGAAAGTTATAGTCATCTGGATAGTAATATATGGGCCAAATTTGAGAAAAATAGATGGGGAGGCAGTTTTTGCACACTTAACCCCCTAAGCCCTTTAAGAAAAAAAAATTTTTTTTTCGCTTACGCAGTAACAAATGTTTAAAAATATTGTAATCTTTGTAAAAAAAAATTAATAACAAAAATTTTCCTCGGGGTAAAAAGAAAATTAATGAAAACTACCCCCAAAAAACAAAACAATTTAAAAATCTACCGAATTCGCCTAAAATTTATTACTCGGGGGTTTTCGAGCTCGCTGATTACGAATCTGATGTCAGTTTTCAAAAATTCAAAATGGCGGATCGAATATGGCGGCCAATAAATTAAAAATTCATCATATTCGCCTGAAACTTGTTACTCGGGGGTTTTCGGGGTCGCTGATTACGAATATGATGTCAGTTTTCAAAAATTCAAAATGGCGGATCCAATATGGCGGACAATAAATTAAAAATTCATCATATTTGCCGGAAACTTGTTACTCGGGGGTTTCCAATGAATCCTTTCAGTATGGAACGATAAAAGAAAAAAGGAGAAAGGAATAAAAATTGCAAAAGGTAAAATGTCGTAAATTGGTTAAAATAAATATAAATTATCTTTTTCCAGTTTTCAGAATCACAATTGTTCAACATTGATAAAAAAATATATCAAACCATTTACCCAATATACAAAGATAATAACAAATTTCTCCAATAAAACTATAATTGTATCTACGAACAGTTATTAAATAGGGGTGAGTTCTGAGGATGCTGTTTATTATTATTTTTATCTATAACTGTGTAATTCTGAAAAACATTTTATGATTTAAAATCAATTAGAATTAATAATTTTTAAAAATCTAATACAAAACTTTTTATCATGAAAGGGTGGCTATTTGACCTTAGGGTTATTTTTTTAAGGGTAGTTTATATTTACTATCATTACCCAGTCACCATAAAAATATTTTTTCGTATTTTCGAAACGTATAGAATTAATAAAAATGACTTTTTTAATTGTTCAAAACTATTGACAGTATGTAAGAATAATTATTAAATAGGGGTGAGTTCCAAGGGGGGGGGGGGTGATTAACATTATTATCCATATCTGTGGCACTTAGAAACATTTTTTTATAATTTAGATGCATTTAGAATCTATAGATTTTTTTTAAATATTCACAAAAATTAATATCGTCAAGAGGTGATTATTTGACTTTGAGGGTGATGTTCAAGTGGTTATTTATAATTCTTTTGCATTTTTTAACAACCAGAGAATATTTATAAATAATTATAAAGCTGACAGGAGCTTAAAAATATTTAATTTATTACTTAGATTAATTATCAATTTTTTAGGGTACTAATATACGTTAGGGGTGGTTTTAAGGGGTGGAACATGTTAAAAAAATTGTTTTTTCATATTGAATAATAGAATAATCGAATTTACTAAACATTATACGTTTATAATAACGGCAAAAAACTCGGCCATTAAAGGGTTATGGGAAGCAAAAGTATAAAAATATTAAAATTTTTATTTTAAAAAATTATTAATTACCTACATTATTTTTCTATAAAAATTCTTAAAGTTTTTTAAAAATCTTATTCAAAAATTCTAAAAGAGTAATTGGATTTTGGAAGAATTACAGTTGCAATTTTTAGAAATAATTAAATTTCATGAGGTGACAATTTTATTGTCAAATTTTATTTAGAAAAAAGTGTCTCAGTTTTAAAATTGTAAATTTTATTTAGAAAATATTAAGAAAACAAGTTGTTCATTTCATGACCATTTAGCTTCCTCAATATATAAATAGAAATTCGTGAGGTAATTCACGTACAAAATTTTGAAATTGAAATTCAAAAATTCAAAAATTTGAATTTTTTGTGAAAAAGAAAAATATTTATTAATTTTATAAATTTTAATAAAATATATACTTTGTATACATCAATCGATTCGTTTTCTTGTCAGGAATGTAATTTTAAGAATAATTAATAAAAATATTAACAAATAAAACAATTATTTCAAAAAATACAAAAAAAATTTTTTTCTGAATTTTAAAAAAATTGTATAAAAAAAAATTTTGGAGATATTTTCGAAAATCCTTGTGTCAGATTTTAGGTATTAATGACTGCAATAAACCTGCAAAATTTCAGGACAATCCATCAAAATTTGTCTGAGATAATTTGTACACAATTTTTGTGACATACCCACACACACACATACACACATGTGACGCGCTCCCAAGAAAGGTACCTAAGAAGAAAACGAATTCTAGGTTAGGTTCGTGTTACATTTATCTTGATTAAAAGTTTATTTTTAATTATTTGAATTTGAAACAAATTTTCATTGGATATTTTGGATATAATGAAGACTTGAAGATCAATAATTTTTAATTAATAATTGATTTTCTTTCTGTATTTTCACTCAAAAAATTAAAAACCTAACCTCAAATTTTTTGCTTCTTAGGTACCTTTCTTCGGAGCGCGACACACATACATCTGGATATTTGCTCAGAATTGAATATACATAGGGGAGAGTGGGGTAAAATGGGGTAGGCGGGTCAAATGGGGTACCTCTGTTTTTCTATGATAGGTACTTTTAAGTTTTTTATCCTCGACATATATCATTCATGTTGATAAGAAACTGTTATTAATTATGAAGACACTCCAAAGAAAATTTTTTTTTTAAAGTTATACAACTTTTAAGTTTTAAGCAAAAAAAATATGAATTTTTTTCAAAATTAAAGTGCTTACCAAACTTTTTGGGACAATGCATTTAATTTGGCAAGTGTGGGATCTTTTTCAGTACTTATTCTAGAGTAATTTTCAATAGAATAGATTGTTTAATTGTTTACAATAACTTATGAACATTGCATTTTGTTTTAATATGCAGTGTGGGGCAGAATGGGGTACCTAAGTGCGGGGCATGCCGGAAGCTATGCTGTTTCATTAAAACTATTTCAAAACATTATATTATGAATATTTAAAGGTTTCCTGTAGAAGAATCGATATTTTTGTTTCGAGGCATTTATGCTATCGATGTTTCACTATCGATATATCGATATTTTGCAATATCCATGTTTTTTTGTTAAATTCTAATAAATATTACTTGTTTTTCCATAATAATAAAGAATCCTACTTTTTGTTTGTATTTATAATCTCATACAACAAGAATTTAATGAATTTTGAAAAAAAATTCAATGTTTTGTACAGTTATTTGATGTCACCCCATTTTGCCCCACGGGTGGGGCAAAATGGGATTTTAGCACTTTCTCAGAAAATACGATATAAGTTCTTTCAAAAATTTTTTTCTCCGCTATTATCATAATTTCCTCAAAGCTAAGTGTACAAAGAAGAATTCTGAAGTTTAGCTGAATCGATTTATTCGTTTGGTTCTCTGTAAACAGCCAATTTCAAAAAGGTACCCCATTTTGCCCCACTCTCCCCTATGTTTTAGATGAAAATGAGTCCATATAACCTTGTTTTGAAAAATTGAAAATCGTCACGAATGCAAAGCTTCCTCATGAGGAAGCAAAAGAAATAGAAAAGAGATTTAATTCATTTAAGAGTCGATTTAATTAATTTAAATTTATAATATGTTAAAAATTAAAAATATTTTCTCTTCTTGTGGGTAAAAATTTTGAAATGTTACTTGTGAGGAAGGTCCGGCGAGTCCCTTGATTTGCAGTGCCTCCGCGGCATTTAGAAGTTGAGGTAATTTTTCATGAGCGACATTAACTTCGCCACGATACATGAATTTGACTAGTGCCTCGACCTCCCAGAATTTGAGGTCCTTCATCAGAATAATGGGATGCTGACAAGGATTCTCGCGCAGCAATTCCGCCAAGTAATCGCTGCAGGTCGAAAGAATCATTTTGTGACACTTTAGTGAACGACCCTCACAGGCAAGTGTCACGTCGACAAACTGTTCTGAATCCAAAAGCGATGGGAAACTATTTTGCATGTTACTGTGATAACTATTCCACCTCAAGCAAACCTGGAGAAATATTCAATTTTTATTATTATTTAATTCCTTGTAAATTCGACATATTTTTAAAATATTTTCCTATTTCTCTAACACATGGTGGCTACAAAAATTTAATGTTGTTTCTTTCTGACTTTTTTTTACTGATTTTCATAGACAACATTTTATTTAGTTTTTCTCATTTTTTATTCGGGAAATTTTATTAAATTTTATCAAAAATAATGGAAAAAAATCAAATTATTTTGGAATTACTAGGGGAGTGTTGTTAGAGTTAGGCATAGTTTTGACTTTTCTTCATAACTTCCCCTGTAGAACGAATTTCGCGATTTCGCGCATATTGTTGGAAAGATCAACTCAAATGCAATTAGAGCTGTGCAAAATAATTCGAACCGAACTGTTCGAATTTTTTCGCCTAGTTCGAATGTCGAAAGACCGACATTCGAGTTAGCCTAGTTCGAATGTCGAATATTCGACATTTCGGCGTCCCAAAACCGAACTAAACTCGGTTTGGTTCGAATTTTGCACAGCTCTAAATGCAATGTTTTTGCTGAACATTGTAAAAAAAATTTGACCAAAAGATTCAGAGTTATAAGCAATTTAAAAAAAAAATGTTTTCAGAGTTGAACATGGTTGCCAGAATTGGGCCACAGTAGAAAATCAATGAAATATTTAGGTAAATGTTTAAAAATGACCTTCAAATGATAGAATGACACTTGGGAATGAGGAAAGGAATCATGAAATTAAAATAAAATCCCATATTATGCATTTTCATATAACTTTAGATAATTTATTCCTCATAGACGAAATCCAAAATTAAAAAAATTAAAAAAGGTTATCAAAAAATTTTTTTCCCTCTTCTACATTTAGTTCTCTTTTTTTGACACCACAAAAAAGTTTTTGCTGAGCCTACATATATCACAAATTGGTACGCTGGTCAAGTATAGGTTCGTATACTTAACTGCGACTCATATGAAAAGATGGCTGACATTAGTAGCAAGAATTTTCGTAGAAAGATAGATGGCGCTAGTGCGATAAAACGAAATAAACGCGGTGGCCGCGGTGGCTCAACCCTAAACCCTGTCCAACTCTGACAACTCTCCCCTACAATTACAATTTCTGCTTTTTTTGGTATTCTAAAAATATTTTTGAAATATTTAAAAATCTTGAATTTTTCTTATCTTTCTTTTAGTTACAAACTTTTAAATCACAACGATTTTTAAAACAATACGTTCTAATTTTTTCTTGTTTCTCTAAATAATTAAATTCTAGAATAAATTTCTTAAAGTTAATAATTTTAATTAACTTCAAAAAAAAATTCAGTCAATAACAGTTGTAATTTTCAGAAATAATTGAATTCTAGAAGGTTTTAAACTAATATTTTCGAATATTGATCTGGATAAATTAAAAAAAATTAAATATTTATTTTAAAAATTATTTCAGTTTTTAATCATTTTATTTGAAAATCTCAAAAAAAACCTGTAAACAATTTTAATTCAATTGTTTAAAAAACATTGAATTTTAAAAAAAATTTTATCAAAGAATAATAATTTAATTTGAAATTTTGAAAAAAAGTTTCTAAAAATTGGAATTCAATTATTTATAAATACTTGAATTTATAAAAAAATGTTATTAAAAAATTATCAAATTAATTGAAATTTTGGGAAAGTTTATTGAAATTATTAAATTTATTTAAAGAAAAAATTTTAGAGAAAATTTCTAAATTAGAGATTTAATAAATCGAATTTTTAAAGAATTAAAGAATTTTTTTTAATTAACAATTAATAATTTTAAATAAATTTTACAAAGAGTGACAATTGAATGTATCTAAATAACAATAAAGTAAATAATAAATCATCTAAAATAATTTAATTATGAAAGATTTACAATTAAAATTTTCACTAATTACTAATTTAAAAAAGATTTAAATTCAAATTTCTTTTAAATAGAGTTTTCGAAACATTTTATTTAAAATTATGGAATTTTGGTTTTTCAAATATTTCAATACTGTTTTTTCGAAAGATAATTGACAGGGTTGCCACATGTCAGTAAAGTTAGGAAAATGTCAGGGAAACAAATTTTTTGTAAGTAAAGTAAGGGAAATGTCAGGAAAAAAAGTTTTTGGCACGAAAATTAAGAAAATTGCGACTTTTACGACTTTTCTTCCAAACATTGCAACAAAAAACAACAATTTTTAGTAAAAAAAAATGCAACTTATTTTGATTTTTATAATGCGAAAAATAACTATAAACAAATCTTTCAAAAATTGTTATTGAATCATTTTTTAACATAATTAAATTTTTCAAATATATCTATAATAGAAATCTTTTTGAATAGTTGAAATTTTGTAAGATTTAATTGAAAATAATTAATTTATTTCAAGTATTCATTTACAATTTTTCAAAAACAATTTTTGAAGAATTTTATTGTAAATTTTGAAAATAATTGAAATATCAAAATTTTTTATGAAAAATCTTTAAAGGTAAAAATAATTTTTTAAAATTCAATATTTTCAGTATTTTCAATTACATATTTCCAAAAATTAAAATACATACAAAAATAATAACATTTTGGAGAAAACAATTATGTTCAAAATTTTTAATTAAAATTAATCAAAAAATTAATTAGTTTTTATAAATTATTAATTAATAATTAATTGATTCAGAGATGAATTTTAGTTGAAAATTGTAGAAAATAATTGAATTCAGGAAGGGTTATAATTATAATTTTTAGAAATTATTAAAATTCATAAATTTTACTCATTTTTCGTAAACATTAATATTTTCCTGTAAAAAGAATTTTGTCAGGGAAAATAATCGAGGGAAGTTTGGAAAATTTGTAAAATTCGATAAATCGTTAAAGTTGGAAAAAAATGAAAGATATGGAAGAAATTAATTTAGAGAGGAAAAAACTCACTTCAGCTGGTTGTTGTGGAGCCTTAATTTGTTGAGTTGGTTGTGTTACTTGTCGAGGGGGCATTTTGATAGTAGTCGGCGCCACTTGCTTCACCTTCAAAGGAATCGTCTTCAGAACTAATGTCTTTGGTTGTTGTTGCTGCGACTGCTGCTGCTGTTGTTGTTGTTGACCCTGTTGAGTAGCCGAACTCGGTACGAAATTAGACGGTGAAATATTTTTCATCTTTCTCGAATAAGTTTGTATTGGCACTCTCGATTTTGTGGGAAATGAAGACTTCTCCCGTTGTTGCTGCAATACTATTTAACAAAAAAAAATTTAATTAGTTTTTTGTAATTTTTATTCTTAAAATAAAGAATTTTTCTTCTTCTTCAAAACAAAATTTTAATAGTCTTTTTTTATAATTTTAATTAGTGAATCTTTCTTCCATTTATATTTTAAAAGTAAAATACTATTATCTCAAGTGATGAGAATGAAAAATTTAATAAAGCAAATAAAATAAAAAAGATAAAATAGAAAGAATTAAAAATTAATAAAATAAAGAAAATAAAAAAAACAAATAAAATAAATGGAATAAAAAATAAAAACAAAAGAATAAAAGAAGAAAGGAGAAAAGAAATAAATGAAACAAAAATGAAAGAACCATTTTCTCAGAATTTTAAAACACATTATTTTCGTTTCTCGTTTTCAATTTCATTTTTGCGATTGCTTGTTGTTTTCACGGTGGAAGTAGGAGGAAATAAATTTTCTCCCCTTCTCGATTTGCTCTTTTTTGTTTTTACGTCGGGGAAAAAATGGAGATTGAAGGGCAATTTACCATGATATCTTCGTCCAATGAGCCTACCACCGTGATGAACTCTGAGATGTCGATGTAAATTGGTTGTGCCGCATTGTCGTGGATTGGCACCGCCACGTACAACAACGGCACCGCAAATTCGGCACTGAGCACGTAGGGGATCATTTGTGCATAAATCAAAGTGCGCCCACACTGCACTTGGATTGGCCATTGCTCGAAGACTTCGTGAATGAGAACGTACCCGATGACCCAGAGCACTTGGCGATGGTAGTTGTAGGCCTTCTTCTAAAATATCATCTTCTTCCTCTGGCTCTTGTTTCATTTTCAAGACGGACACTTTCAGACACCTTTTTCTCCACTCTTTCTCTCTCTCAAGCGAATGGAAGAAATTCCTCTTCTTGGTTAGAAAAACAAAATAATCCCCCTATTAACTAAATTTCTTTAAATAAACCTACATTTTTTTCCAAATCACAAGTTGGTGAAGTTCACAACGTTTATAAAAGATTTAATAGAAAACGTTTATTTTTAAAAACATTTATTCCAATTTTTGGCTAAAAAATTTTTCTAATAATATTTTTCTTGTCAGACATTCATAATAATTAAAATTTTGTCAACAAAAATATTTTTTTCGCCATAGACATGAAAAAGTGTCTTTTTGGGACCTGTTTTGGGCAAATAAAGTAGCACTTTTTCAAGCAGTTCTGGACAACTGCCGTAAAAAGACTTTTTATGGCAAAAAATTTTAAATAACTGATTTTTTCGACTAATTTTATGCAAATGTTAATTTAAATAATTAAATTCGTGAGAATTTCATAAATTACATTCATGAGAAATTTTTATTATTTACTAAAATAATTTAATTTTTACAAAGATTTTGACAAAAAAATGTTTAAAAAATTGAATTCAGTTTTAAAATTTTATGAAAATAGTAGATATTGAAAAACATTGAATTGCAAAAAGTTTTCAAAAATAATTAAATTTTACAAAGAATTCAATTAAAATTTTTGACAATAATTAAATTCTTGCAAATGATTTTATTGAAATTTTTTTAAATTATTGAATCTCCAAGAAGAAATTTATTTCTTTTAAAACTAATTGAATTCTTGCGATGAATTTTATGATTTATGAACAAAATTGAATTTTACAAAGAATTTTATTGAAATGTCTCAAATATTTGAATTTTCAGGAATAATTTTTTTAGTTATCGACATAATTGAATTCTTTAGAAGAATTGTTTACATAAATAATTGAATTCTTGGGAAGAATTTTATTACAATCTAAAAGAATAATTGAATTATTTCAGAGCAATTTACTGAGAATTGAATTTAAAAACATAGATTTCTTTTGAACAATTTTATTAAAATATTTTAAAATAATGGAATTCCTGTAAAAAATTTTAATACTTTTGTAAATAATTGAATTCTTTTAAAGAATTTAAAAAAAATATATTTTTTTAAATAATTGATTTTTCGAGGAATTGAAATTAAATTTTTATAAATAATTACATTTTTCTTATCAATTCCTGTAAAATAGAATTCCTGAGAAAAATGTTTTATTTTTGGAAATAATTGAATTCTTTATAAGAATTTTATAAACAGTGTTTTAAATATTTCAATAATTAATTAATTTTTTTTAGTATAGTTTTTTGATTTCTAGTGTTAGCGAATTTAAAGTAGTATTAATTCTAAAAAATAGAAATAATACAGGGTTGCCACAAAAAATTAATTTTGTTTTTCCCTGATTTCCAGACAAAATTTTAACTTTTTCCCTCACCATAAAGAATATTCTGATTCTCTAGAAAAATTATTAGATACTCAAAAAAAAAAACATTCTACTACATTTACTTACGAATTTCTTAAATTTTAAAATTATTCGCAAACATACCTAAATAACTAAATTTTAAAATAAGTATTTAATTATTATTTTTCCATAAGAATTAAAATTCTTCAAAACATTCAAATTCAAAAATTGTTTAAATTAAACAACTTACAAGAATATTATTATAAAACATGAAGATATCAATTACTTCGAGTCTTCCACTCGGAGTGATTGATATCTTCATGTTTTATAAAAATTTTAATTTCCATTAAATTTAAAAAAAAATTAAATTATTTACAAAAATTATAATAAAATTCGTTGCAAGAATTCAATTATTTTCATAAAATCATAAATAATATTAAAATTCTTCACATGGTTTCAATTATTTGTAATACAATTTTAAATAAATTTCTCGAAAAATAAAATTATCTTCAAAAATTTTTTGCAACAATTAAATTAGGTACACTTCACGAATATAATGAAATTCTTCGTTGAAATTCAAAATTTTTCAAAATTTACATTTTTAATACAAGTTTTCGAAAGAATATAATTATTTAAATAAAATGTAATAAAATTCGTTGAATAAATTCAATTATTTTTAAAAAGTAATAAAATTTTTCACATGAATTCAATTATTTAAAAAAAATTGATAAAATTCGTTGTCAGAATTCCATTATTTTCATAAATTATAAAATGTTTCTGAGGATTTCAATTATTTATAATACAATTCAAAGTAAATTCCTATAAAAATGGAATTATTCTCTTAATTTTTTTTGTAAGAATTTAAGTACATTTCACGAATATAATGAAATTCTTCGTTGAAATTCAAATATTTTCACAATCAACTTTTTTAATAAAAGATCTCAAAAGAATTAAATTATTTAAAAAAGTGTAATAAAATTCGATGCATAAATTCAATTATTTTCATAAATAATAAGATTCTTTACATTATTTCAATTATTTAAAACAAATTTGAAAAAATTCATTGCAAGAATTCAATTACTTTCATAAATTAATAAAATTCTTCACAGAATTTCAATTATTTTTAATACAATTTTAAGTAAATTCTTCAAAAAATGTCAATATTTTCAAAAATTTTGTTAAAATTCTTTGAAAGAATTCAATTATGTATTTTATCAATTATGTATTTTTAAAAGTTCATGCTATAATGCTTTTAATATTCAATTATTATCTTAAATTTTAACTAATATTCATTTTCAAATAAATTTTTATTAAAAAATTCTATAAGAATTCAATTATTTAAATACAAAAATATATAATTTACTGAATAAATAAATGTTTTTCGAAAGTAAATTATCATAAAGAATTTTATCAACAAATTTAAATTTTTTCGAGAAATTTTAATAAAATTTTCAAGAATAATTCAATTTTTCGAGGAATTCAATTTAAATTAAATTAAAAATATAACTGAAATACAATGATGAATTTAATTATTCATGAAAATAATTGAATTTTTGTGAAAAATGTTATTATTTATGAAAACAATTGAATTATTCCGTAATTTGCTTAGAATTTTATCAAAATTTTTTTTTTAATAATTGAATTCTTTTGAAAAATTTTATTAAAACTGTATAAATATTGAAATTCATTGAGTTGAGAAAAATTATTTGAAAATAGTTGAAAATTAGCAAAGAATTTTATTAAAATTTTTGAAAATAATTGAAATTTGGAGAAGAATTTTATTATTTTTAAAGATAATTGAATTTTTATGAGAATTTTTTTAAATTTTTGAACATAATTGAATTTTCGCGAAGAATTTTATTACTTTTGAAAATAAATGAATTTCTGCAATTATTTGTAACTTCTCTAAAATTCAGTTTTTTCCAGTTACTTAAATAAAAATCCCCGACTTTTCCCCGATTTCTCTGAGCAATTTTAATTTACCTGACTTTTCCCTGAATTGCCTGATTTCCTTGACCCGGTAAGAAGCGAGGAATTGAAAAGAATTCAGACGTTATTTTTTTTGAATGGACGAATTTCCAAAATAATCCAATTCCTCGGTGGAGCAAGGAAAAGTAGCAAAATCTATTATTCTTAATTGACTTCACCAAAATATGAAACGCGCATTCAAAAGAGTGAGAGAGTACAACAAATCAGTAGAAATTTCTATTCCACTGAATTGCTTTACTATCACTCAATATTTCACTTGAAAAAAGGTTAGGTTTTGAAAACTTGACGTTAAACATTGAACATTTGAAAATTTCGTTCATTTATGTCAATAAGAGAATTTTTTATTTTATCGTAAGCACTGTGCGTTTTTAACCATATTTTCACTAGTTTTAATATTTCATTTTAATAATTTAGCACTGAAATCACAATGAAATTCACACGACGCGAAAAATAGCTGTCACTGCGTTTTATTTTAAGACAATAACTAGAGGAGCTCCTACAAATAATTGGAAAGATTAGGCTTTTTCAAATTGTTTGTCAAAAGTTCTATTCCTTTTAATGCGTTTCTAAAATTCGGTAATGTCAAAGATTTTTGAAAAATTAGTACACAGAAGACTGGAGCACGAAATTGAATCCAGAGATCTTATCCCTCATCAGCAGTTCGGATTCCGTAAGGGTAGATCTGCTGTTGACTGTGTTGCCACCTTTGCTGCGGAAACTTCGGCCGGTTTTTTAGACTCCTTTAACACCCTTGCAATTTCAATCGATATCAAGGGAGCCTTTAATAACGTTAGACCGGACTTACTTCACGACATCTTGACTGACCTTGACATACACCCCTGCACAATTAACTTCATAAACCACATAACTTTTAATAGACATATTTACTTTGGCTCATCAACCTCCACTCCTAGGGAATGCGGGGTTGGTGTCCCTCAAGGAGGAGTACTCTCACCCTTACTTTTCAATCTATACTTACGAAACTTAGGACTTCATCTACCCGAAAACATCAAATACGTCATGTACGCGGACGATTTACTCCTCTACATAAAATTTAAAAAAGACGAAGACATTACGGACTTGGTTTCAGATGCGATTAGGGTCCTTTCTGACTGGTTGAAGTCCATGGGAATGTCTGTTGCTAAAACCACTAGCTGTGTATTCTCTAGATCTCGCACCAACTTTGAGAATCTACAGATTCTCGTGGATAACACACCAATGAATTGTACGACAACGATGAAACACCTGGGTATTATTCTTGACCGTAAATTCACCTGGCATGCACATATTAAATATATTGCTAACAAAGCTACTAAGGCATTAGGTATTCTTAGGATCATTTGTCGCGCCACCTGGGGAACTTCCCCTATACTCACGCTGATGGCCTAAAGGGGTCTCATTAGATCGATTCTTGATTGGGGATCACCCCTCTTTACTGACTCCTCAATGACCCTACTGAAAACTCTGGATCGAATCCAATCAGCAGCCTTAAGAACCTCTTTGGGATGCCTTAGGTCAACTCCCATCCCAGTTCTTTTGTCAGAAGCGAATGAGCCCCCTCTTGAACTTAGGAGAATACACCTCTCCAATTCTTTTATAGTCAGAAATGCTAAATGGCAGGACAACCCTCTTGCTCCTCTCCTTAAACTTCTAAAATGTAAAACAACAACTACGAGATTGAAATTTAATATTAAAAAGATCCCTCTCCTTGAATCCTTCTGCAGAATCTATCCCCTAACTAAAATCTGTTATATATTGGGAAAACCTGCATACTTTGACTGGAAACTGACTACACTTATAAAATCACCCAAATGTGACATTACCACCGGACACACACTTAAGAACTTAGATAATCCAGACCTTAAGTTACGCAATATTTTACAATCAGACTTTCAAGATTTTGTTCCCATTTATACAGATGGCTCCTAAAATTCTGATACAGGACTGGCAACATCGGCATTTCATGACGAATATAATGACTACACTCAAGCCATTCCTTTGCAACCTTACCAAAATTCATAATTCTCATCTTTCTCTTCATAGATTTTAGTTCTGACAGTCGGCTACGCCAAAAGTCATTTAAGAAGAAAAGAAAAGAAAAAAAGAATGAAGTTAGATGCTTTTCTTAACCCTCTGCCTACGCTGACTTATCCCCACTCTAGCGCTTTTGAATGTAATTCCCATAGTCCCCACCATGCGTCCAAATAGACGATTTTAGACGATAACGGTCACATGAGTAGGCAGAGGGTTAAATTGACAAATTGCATTGAAAAGCTTATTAAATTTCCAATAAAATTCCACTATTTTCATTTGTATTGCATAAATAGGAAGCGAGATATCATGTTATAAACACAAAAGAATAATTCTATTTTTTCCGCAATTTCTTACCCTGACTTTGACTCCTGGGAAAATTTAGAAAAGTTTATGAAAAAAATTGTTATTTTCACAGACTATTCCTTGTAATCTAAGCTTTAAATAGAGACCAAGAACAGCAAAAAATATTAACGGTTTCCCGAGATATTACAAAAAGAGTTGGACTGTGCGAAGCAAAATTTTTAACCATCGTTTTCTCTAACTCGTCGTTGAGTCAGTTGCGTGGCTGTGAAAAAAGTGTCGAAAATGAATTTTACCAAGTACATTAATAATATAATATTTTTTGCTGTTCTTGGTCTCTATTTAAAGCTTAGATTACAAGGAATAGTCTGTGAAAGTAACAATTTTTTCATCAACTTTTCTAAATTTTGCTAGGAGTCAAAGTCCTTTGTCAGGGTACACGGAAAAAAAAGTTCCCAGATGTTTCAGGAATTATTTCCTAAGGGTACAGTCCCATGTTGAACAGAAAACACAATGCAAAGCAGAATTTCGTGAGAGTGGAAAGGATAGTGATATCTGATTATCTCTCTTGCACTCACGAAATTCTGCTTTGCATTCTGTTTTCTGCTCAGCATGGGACTGCACCCTTACTCTCGGATACGTGGTAACAGCTGTGAACTAGCGACGAACATTCAATGGTAATCAATGAATGTTTGAAAGAAATTCGGGAACTGTATTAGAAAAAGCTATAAATAGTCCATTAGTCTCTTTTTCATTACTTTCTCATGTAAAGTTCATGGCGCTGGCCGCAACTGTTTCTGAAATTTTCGGGAACTCGTCAAGGAATCTTGGTGCGCAGAAACAGTGCGCACCAGTCTCAACAAGTCTCACAGTCAGTAAGACTTGCGTGTCTTATATATTTATTTTATGCTGAGGTATTTAACTCGCCTGTTTAGCTCAGCTGGATAAGACGCCGGACTTCTATTCTCGGGTACGCGAGTTCTGTTCCAGCCGCCGTCGATTTTTCTCTAATATGGTTTTTTCTATTTCAGAAACTTAATAAAAAATAAAAATTGTATGTGACCTTCAAGGATAAATGTGTATGTGTGTGTGTGTGTGTGCGGACGTGTCAAGGAGGGGAAGTGGGAGGGGGGAAGCAGAATCCATTTTTTCTTGCATTCGCCTAACTTTTCGATTTTCTTGAACAGTTCCCGACTTTTTCAAGAACAGTTTGCCGAGAAGTGGTGAAATAGTTATAATTTGTAGAGAAATAGTAAATGACATATTTAAACGACCCAATGGGAAATAGCCATTAGTTTACCATTGGTGCATTAATGGACCAATATTGGGAGCCATTGGTTTTCTCTAGGTTTATTATTGGCACCCAATAATGGACCACTAATGGTAAAATCGTGGGATGTCCACGCCGATGCCAATAATTGGCAACCATTATTGGTACATTATTGGCTGCCATTAAAAAACCATGAATAAAAAAAAATTTTTTTTATTAAATTTTATTAAATAATAAATGTATTTATTTAATAATTATTTCATTTATTATTTATTATTAAAATATTAATTTTTTTAATTAATTATTTTATAGAAATGGTTATTATTTTCTATCACATCGAAATGTGAATAACCCTTTCGTTCAGAGTCTAAAAATTATTTACCTCACATCCATCAGTGCAAAAATAGGAGAGGACGGGCAGAATAAAATTCCACAAATATTCGTGAGAATGCTGCCTCCTTATATACTTTTCAAGTTTCATGTTAGTTGCGAGAGAGTTTTAAGCAACACCTTCTATGGGGCGTTGAGCGAACTACATACAATTACTTACCGACGCTGCAGAAATTATCATGTAGTAAGTATGTAGTTCGCTCAACGCTCCGTAGGAGGTGTTGTTTCAAACTCTCTCGCAACTAACATGAAACTTGAAAAGTATATAAGGAGGCAGCATTCTCACGAATATTTGTGGAATTTTATTCTGCCCGTCCTCTCCTATTTTTGCACTGATGGATGTGAGGTAAATAATCTTTAGACTCTGAACGAAAGGGTTATTCACATTTCAATGTGATAGAAAATAATAACCATTTCTATAAAATAATTAATTAAAAAAATTAATATTTTTTATAATAATAATAATAATAATAATAATAATAATAATAATAATAATAAATGAAATAATTATTAAATAAATAAATTTATTATTTAATTAAAGTTAATAAAATTTTTTTTTTTATTAGAATGGTTTTTTAATGGCTTAATGGTTTTTTAATTATTGGCCCAATAATGGTTGCCAATTATTGGCATCGGCGTGGACATCCCACGATTTTACCATTAGTGATCCATTATTAAGTGCCAATAATGGGACAATAATGGAATGGTGTCTCCCATTATTGGGTTATTAATGCGCCAATGGTTTTTTTCCCATTGGGGAGGCAACATTTAGTTATCTGTGTACTACCCGCCGTATCCAAGAGTTAAGAACGAAGTTCCCGAATAATCCTCGAACTTTTTTTTCCGTGTAAGAAATTGCGAAAAAAATAGAATTATTCTTTTGTGTTTATAACATGATATCTCGCTTCCTATTTATGCAATACAAATGAAATAGTGGCATTTCATTGGAAATTTAATGAGCTTTCCAATGCAATTTAAAAAATCATCTAGCTTCATTTTTGACGGAGTTATCACTCTTTCTGTGCGCGTGTGTTTTTTAATAGCTCGAAGTGTTAGCGTCGCACAATTTCCGCCGGTAGATACTTTAGTACTGTACTATATACTTTAGTACAGTACTATATACTTCAGTACAGTACTATATATACTTTAGTACAATATAGTACAGTACTTTATAGTTCATTGATATCTCGTACACTACAGTACTAAATAGTACAGTACTGTATAGTATAGTACTTTATTGTATAGTAAAGTACTATATATTGTAGTATAGTATAATAATAAGTAATATAATATAATATAATATAATATAATATAATATAATAATAATATATAATATATAATATATAATATAATATAATTATAATACAGTCAAACCTGGATAAGCGAGAGTTCAAGGGACCGACAACTTTCTCTCGCTTATAGAGGTTTCTCACTTACCCAGTTTTCACTTACAGAGGTCTAAAAGCAAATTTTTCTCACTTACAGAGGTTTATGAAAAAATGTTATTCAAATTAATATTTTATTGTACATAATTATATAATTTATTAGTTATTTTCTTTTAGTTCACATTATCATTATCATTTATTTAAAATGCTTAAAAAAGTCAGTCATTTTCGTTTGTTTTTTTATTCTAATATTGTCAACTTCTTTCTCTAGAGCATAAATTTTATTGAAAACAGACTTATCAACATTTTTAGAAAATTCCAAGAAACGATGAACAGTCTCTAAAGCTTTTAAAGTTTCTTGTTTATTTGGAAAAAGTTCTTCTCTTTTAGTCAAATTTTTGTTTTCTTCATTATCATCTTCATTATCATCATCATCATCATCGTCATCATCATCATTTTTGGCCGTGGTTAAATTGGCTATTATGTCGTTATCCGTGAGTTCTCCTGTAACTGTCACATTGTCATCTACTCTAACAAAATCTTCGAAAGTTGGATTTTCAATGTTATGTTCACAAGGCAAGAGTGTATTCCAATCCTCGATACTAGGGACTTCAACATCATCTTCTTCTGTCTGGTTTCCCACGTCAGTGCAAAATCCAGCTTTTTTAAAGCAATTCTTGATGGTGACGTCGCTTATTGAGTACCATGCTTTGCTAGCGAACTTTATAGCCAGAAGTACGTTTATTTCAGGCTTCATATTTTTTTCTAAACATGTCAAAACATGCTTCACCACTTCTTTGCGATAATGTCTCTTAAAAGCATGAATTACTCCTTGATCTAATGGTTGCAAGTGGCTGGTAGTATTGGCAGGTAAAAAAATAACATTCACATTTGCGAGAGTTGGTAAATCTGTATGTGCAGTGCAATTGTCCATAAAAATAACAATTTTTTTTTTTTTGGTCTTCATATTTTTATCAATTTTCTGTAGCCACCCTTTAAATATTCCTCTTGTCATCCAAGCTTTTGAGTTGCTTTCATAATCTACAGGTAGGGTTTTTACACCTGCAAGTAAAAATTATGTATTGAATTTTAAGATAATAAAAGACTTGACTGGACTTAAAAGTAAAAATTACTCTCATCATTTTTTGACAGGTAAAATAGTTAAAAATAAGGTTTAAGACGAGTTTCAATTTTATCGTTTTAAAAGACTCAGTTTAAGTCAGCAAAAGGCTAAAAACTTGCAAAATCTTGCGAACCGTAGTTTTATAACTAAAAGAAATTTCAAACAAAAAAATTTTTATAATTTTAATAAAAAATTAATTTTTTTGTTACTTTTCAATTAAAATAGGAAATATAATACACAAGAACATATAAAAAACAAACCTTTAAAACATCGAGGTCGTTTTGATTTTCCAATGACGAGTAAAGGCAATTTATTTGTACCAGTCATATTTGCACATTGAAGAATAGTAATACGTTCCTTACTTTGTTTTCCTCCGTGGCACTTTTCTCCTTGAAAGGCAAATGTTTTGTTTGGTAAACACTTAAAAAACAAACCAGTCTCGTCTGCATTATAAATGTCCTCTGGGTCATATTCTGTTAAAAGATTCGGTAGATCTTTAGTCCACTGATTGCATACACGTACATCCACAGATTTGCTTTCTCCAGATAATGTCTTAAAAACTATATCATGCCGTCTTTTAAAACCCTCAAACCAGCCGTTACTAGCTGAGAAGTCTTGTATTCCTATTTTTGTCGCAAAATCTCTGGCTTTTTCTTTTAATAACGGGCCATCCATGGGAATATTTTTGTCGCGGATTTCTTTTATCCATTCTAACAGACAATTTTCAACGTCAGAAAATTCAATTTTTCGGTTTCTCTTAATGTTTCCATGTCCTTCAGCACATCGACTCTTTATTGAATCTTTTTCTTTTAAGATTTTATAAAAAGTAGACTCCGGCAAATTAAACTCACTCGCTATTTCTTTTCGTGATTTTCCGCGCTCGAATTCATTTATTATTTTAAGTTTATCACTCAGAGAAATCACGTTAATTTTTCGTTTGGGCATTATTAATTCACAAGAGACTCTCACTGCCAAGTTAACTATTCAAAATTCGTTTATTAACTGAAAAGAAAATTGTTTGCATTGTATACACTGGGTGTATATCTACGGTAATGGCTAATTATCTTTATTTTCATTTTAGAAAAGTAAGCAAATGCTATTAGAGACAAAAACAAAAGACATTTTGATAAAATTTTAGGAATATATACAGACAAGTCTCTCTCGCTTATAGAGGTCCGAGAGCGACTTCTCTCACTTATAGAGGTCCGGACGAGCAATGACTCTCGCTTACAGAATCTCACTTATAGAGGTTTTTACATGTAAAAATGAAGGGACCGAGAAATTTCTCTCGCTTATAGAGGTTTCTCGCTTATCCAGTTCTCGCTTATCCAGGTTCGACTGTATATATAATATAATAATAAGTAATATAATATTTTTTTAATATAATAATAATATAGTATAATTATACATAGTATAGTACAGTACGGTATAAGTACAGTACTAAATAATAGAGTATAGTAATTTTTCATACAATTGTTGGATCATCAGGGTTGCTACGCAACCTGGAAACCTGGTAATCCTAGAAATGTCAGGGAATTTTATAAACCTTAAAAAACCTGGAAAAGTCAGGGAATTTTGATCGAAGTCCTGGAAAATTGTTGTTTTCTAAAGTTATTGTGTTTATTCTTAAAATCTAATTTCACTTAAATATTTCAAAATTAATTCAATTTTAAAAGAATTGCGTTTACAATTTTCATAAGTAGATGAACTTCAAAAGACTTTGATTTAAAATTTTGTAAAATTTCAATTTTAAATGAATTTAATTAGAAATATAAAAAAAACTTAAATTTAAAAGAAAAATTAATAACTAAAATTGAGCCTCCGGAAATTATAACCACACATAAAATTCTGACCTCCATGCTAATTCAATGGGCGTCAGAATTTTATGTGTGGTTATACTTTCCGGAGGCTCAATTCTTCTGAAATTATTTAATTTTTTAATATATTTAATTAATAATTAAAAAATTGGACAAGTGCGAGTTGTACTCGCACTGCAATATCGGGTTCCGCACACAAATATTAAAACAATACTTGCAACATTGATCGGTAATTGGTAGAATTAAAATAAACAATTATAAAAATAATTAAGGAAGATTTCGACTATATCAGCAATTAGTGACATCTATTAGACGTCAATTGAACTCTTTGGTTTAGAGTCAGGTGTTATTCTTAAGATAATTATTCCGATATGGTTGTCGGTAAATAATTATATTTTTGAATTTAATTTTTGATCTGAAAAAATAAGCTGCGTGAACGACTGCACTGTGCATCTGTGAGGACTCGAACCCCAGTTAATAGCTGCCTTTCGCGGGACTAACGCCTACCAATGCACCATGCCAACACAGCCTGGACGTTCACGTTTCTTATAATCTCAGATCAAGCCCATACACTAGTCGAAGAGCTGTATAGTTAATGTAGGAAATTATTTGCTGATTGAGAATTTTAATTAAGGAAGATTTCGACTATATCAGCAATTAGTGACATCTATTAGACGTCAATTGAACTCTTTGGTTTAGAGTCAGGTGTTATTCTTAAGATAATTATTCCGAAAAAAAAAAAAAAAAAAAAAAAAAAAAAAAAAAAAAAAAAAAAAAAAAAAAAAAAATTAAATTCAAAAATATAATTATTTACCGACAACCATATCGGAATAATTATCTTAAGAATAACACCTGACTCTAAACCAAAGAGTTCAATTGACGTCTAATAGATGTCACTAATTGCTGATATAGTCGAAATCTTCCTTAATTAAAATTCTCAATCAGCAAATAATTTCCTACATTAACTATACAGCTCTTCGACTAGTGTATGGGCTTGATCTGAGATTATAAGAAACGTGAACGTCCAGGCTGTGTTGGCATGGTGCATTGGTAGGCGTTAGTCCCGCGAAAGGCAGCTATTAACTGGGGTTCGAGTCCTCACAGATGCACAGTGCAGTCGTTCACGCAGCTTATTTTTTCAGATCAAAAATTAAATTCAAAAATATAATTATTTACCGACAACCATATCGGAATAATTATCTTAAGAATAACACCTGACTCTAAACCAAAGAGTTCAATTGACGTCTAATAGATGTCACTAATTGCTGATATAGTCGAAATCTTCCTTAATTAAAATTCTCAATCAGCAAATAATTTCCTACATTAACTATACAGCTCTTCGACTAGTGTATGGGCTTGATCTGAGATTATAAGAAACGTGAACGTCCAGGCTGTGTTGGCATGGTGCATTGGTAGGCGTTAGTCCCGCGAAAAGCAGCTATTAACTGGGGTTCGAGTCCTCACAGATGCACAGTGCAGTCGTTCACGCAGCTTATTTTTTCAGATCAAAAATTAAATTCAAAAATATAATTATTTACCGACAACCATATCGGAATAATTATCTTAAGAATAACACCTGACTCTAAACCAAAGAGTTCAATTGACGTCTAATAGATGTCACTAATTGCTGATATAGTCGAAATCTTCCTTAATTAAAATTCTCAATCAGCAAATAATTTCCTACATTAACTATACAGCTCTTCGACTAGTGTATGGGCTTGATCTGAGATTATAAGAAACGTGAACGTCCAGGCTGTGTTGGCATGGTGCATTGGTAGGCGTTAGTCCCGCGAAAGGCAGCTATTAACTGGGGTTCGAGTCCTCACAGATGCACAGTGCAGTCGTTCACGCAGCTTATTTTTTCAGATCAAAAATTAAATTCAAAAATATAATTATTTACCGACAACCATATCGGAATAATTATCTTAAGAATAACACCTGACTCTAAACCAAAGAGTTCAATTGACGTCTAATAGATGTCACTAATTGCTGATATAGTCGAAATCTTCCTTAATTAAAATTCTCAATCAGCAAATAATTTCCTACATTAACTATACAGCTCTTCGACTAGTGTATGGGCTTGATCTGAGATTATAAGAAACGTGAACGTCCAGGCTGTGTTGGCATGGTGCATTGGTAGGCGTTAGTCCCGCGAAAGGCAGCTATTAACTGGGGTTCGAGTCCTCACAGATGCACAGTGCAGTCGTTCACGCAGCTTATTTTTTCAGATCAAAAATTAAATTCAAAAATATAATTATTTACCGACAACCATATCGGAATAATTATCTTAAGAATAACACCTGACTCTAAACCAAAGAGTTCAATTGACGTCTAATAGATGTCACTAATTGCTGATATAGTCGAAATCTTCCTTAATTAAAATTCTCAATCAGCAAATAATTTCCTACATTAATTATAAAAATATATTAAAATCATTTGATAAAAAAAAATAACTAAAAAAAATTAAAGTATTGTATATCTAATATTGTCAACAATAATAAGCAGAGGAACTATAATAAATTTTGAAAATTTTGTTCCTCTGCTTATTATTGTTTACAATATTAGATATGGGTGATTCTCCTGAAAGGGACCACTTCACGTGTCTCCAACATGAGGTTCATTATTTAAATTAATTTTTCATTAATATTTTATCAAGTTTAAATTTTTTGAAAAATTTATTTATAATCTACGAAGATTTATCTATCTTTATATAATCTTCTATTGCTTATATTTAAATTTCTTCCTATTTAAAAAACATATTTAATTTTGTCATCGAATTTTGGTTAAACAGAATGTATATTTTATAATTATATTTTAACGTATTTAACCAATTTCAACATATTTATGATATATATCAAATTAAAGTTTAGAATATAAGGATTATTTTTTACTTACATTTGTTTAAAATAAGGTAAAAAAAGTTATTTAAATTATTAATTAAAATAGTATTATCAATGAGAGTAAAAATTAAATTCATCTCCGAAGCCTCATTTTCTATATAATAACATCATATTTTTTAACGTTTTAAACATAATATGTAATCGATGTGAAAATATTTGATGATTAAAACTAAAAATATTGTTTAAAAAATTGTAATATTTTTAAAATTAGAAAAAATGAGAATTTTTTCATTAAATTATCAATTCATCTCCGAAACCTTTTTTATATTTGATAGGCGTTTTCTTTTGTTTTTAATTTTTTAATCATTGTTTTGAAATATTTAACCCTCAAATTAAATTATTAATTTAATAAAAATAAAATATACAAGCAAAAAGTGCAATAAATTAAAACATAACAATTTCTGAAAATTAATTTTGCGCAACTTATATTTTTATCTTTAAACATTTTCTAAACTTATTTATGAAAGAAAAGTAACAAAAAAAGAATAATTTGATTTTTTGGAAATTCAACCGAAAAAGGGTCCCTTTCAGGAGAATCACCCATATATACAATACTTTAATTTTTTTTAGTTATTTTTTTTATCAAATGATTTTAATATATTTTTATAATTGTTTATTTTAATTCTACCAATTACCGATCAATGTTGCAAGTATTGTTTTAATATTTGTGTGCCGAACCCGCCATTGCAGTGCGAGTACAACTCGCACTTGTCCAATTTTTTTTTATTTTTAGTTAGGAAATTAAAGTCAGAAAACAATCTCTCATTTATTCTCTTAAAATTTCACTCTCTTCCTTAAAATATTTAATGCCACGTGTTTAAACTAAAAAAAATTAAAAAAAATTTTTTTTTTGATTTTTTTTCAAAAAGTTTCTTAAATAAATTTTTTGTCGTCAGACTGTAATAATACACTAGGATACCAATTTTCAGCTCATTAGGTCAAATAATGTAAAAGTTAGGAAAAAAAATTTTTTTAAAAATTTTTTAGTTTTTCCTTGACAACGCTATGGCCATCATTACATATCAAGTTCTCTATATTTTTCCTGTAATATTCGAGTAAAAATACACCAGCATGCAAAATTTCAGCTCTCCATGTCGAATAGTTTAGAAGTTAAGGGGGGGGGGAAATGGTCACTTTTTATGCATTTTTGGCCAAAAATCTTGTTATTTCCTTGACAACGCTATGCCCATCACGTCCAATCACATTCGCTATATTTTTCCTGTAATCTACGTGTGAAAATACATATCTGTACCAAATTTGAGCTCTTTAGGTCAAATAGTTTAGCCGCTAGGGGGGGGGGACACGATTTGGCTACGGACAACAGAGTCTCACCAATAGGGTTCCGCCGATACACCGTAGGTGTACGGAACCCTAAAAATAATGAATTTATAGAAGAATTTTAGTTAAAAACACTAAAACAAACTTAACTTTAAAGCAATTACAAATTATTGCAGAAATTCAATTATTTTTAAAAGTAGTAAAATTCTTCTCAGAAATTCAATTATTTTCAAAAATTTTAATAAAATTCTTGGCAAAATATTAATTATTTTCAAAAACTTTTCTCAATTCAATGATTTATAATATCAACTACTTTAATAAAAATTAAGAAT